GAGAGAGAGAGAGAGAGAGGGAGAGGAAGAGACAGACAGACAGATAGAGAGAGACGGATAGAGAGACCGTTACAGACTATCACTACCAAAACAAGTTCAGCCTATCTGGTAAACAGAACGATACTTTTCTTATATTGTTCTGTCCAACTCCCATATTTGCCTACATACGGTCAATTTCTCTATACCTCATTCCGTAAGCGAGACCAAACCATCGATACATAACCTTATTGTAACTCATATATTGTTATCGATATTAATTTACAGTTTTGTAAGGTACTTAAGTTTTGTAGTATTGTTGTCTAACTGCCACACATTGTACCGTGTACGATTGTTGACCAATAACGCTCTTCTTCCATTTTACAAACTTCAAATAACTAACAAAGGAAGACACACTGTGCAGTGAAATAACTGAAGATTGACGATTCTTTAATATCATGTCAACTTTTCCCAAAAGAATATTAATTATTTATGCCCGCGCTTCTAGGAGAGGAGCCAGTTAAAAGGCACTTTGTACACGACACCTTTGGACTTATTATTTGAATGACTTATGTCTTACTATGTAAATTTTGCTCAGAAATGTTACAGTGTACTCTGCCTACAGGGATTTGTTCTAGTGAAGGACTTCTTTACGCCAGAAGAACTCCAGCCTTGTAGAGATGGCACCGCGGAACTTGTGGACGCTTTGGCAGAAAGGCTCTACAAGGCTGGCAAGATCAAGAGTGGGTCATTAATATTTTTAATAGATAGGGTAAGGAAAAGTCGGATAGGATTAGACCATGCGTTTCATGTCAACGCATTACAGTAAACTGCTGAGAAATTATCGGACAGAAGGAAATTTAAGATTTTTGAGATTTTGGGGTACAAATTGCAATATATGTACATGTTATTTTAGAATGGTTTATTACAGATGGTCCAAACTTCCGTTGTATGGTTTAAGTTGCTCATGAACAAGATAGATATATTTGTGCGATAGTATAATTTTTTTTACTACCTTGTCTTTTTATGGACAAGTCTCAATTTCTACCGTATATTTGCTAAGTTTGCCAACATAAATCCTTGTCTGAAGGACTGGTGCTTAAACATCCGAGCCTTCTTTGTTAGAGTTCCTGGTGCAGTCGCGTTTTCTGTTTTTACACGCGCTTCCTTGACCATTACCCTGTTCAGGGAAACGCGAAAAAAAAAACGCTGCTAACAGGACAGGTAACGCCTGCAAAGGAGGCTATTAAATTTTACTACTAAAATCAAAGAACCCACATATTATAGAAGAAGTGGGTAATTTAAATTCGTCTTCCATTGCCTAAAAAGAAGAAGTCAAACCCAGCAAAACTATAGCTAGTACCATGTGTGTTGTAGAATATAGTATAATGTTACGGACGTAGATATAGTCTCACATACCACTGTAAACACTGAGCAGATTATTATTGGAATGAGCAGAACACTTTGGACTAATGCCTCTGACTATTTACAGCTTAGAGGTACATATCCAATCTTTTGTCACAAACTTCTCTGTTACATAGCGGATTATAATGACCCCCAGTGGGGGTCTTCACGCTTCGTTAAAAATGGAAAAATCTCAAGATTCATTCTAAAGATCTCAATATTTTAGACGAAATCTTGAGATCTTATAAGACAATCTTGAGATTGTTCATGACAATCTCCAGATCTTTCAGAAAATCTTGAGATGAAAACAAAAGGTCTCAAGATCTTTCCAAATGTTTTCAAAGTATCTTGAGATTTTTCCAAAGCATCTCGAGATGCTTTAAAAAATATCAAGATTGTTTAAAAGATCTCACGTTTTTTCAAGATTACTTTAAAAATCTTGATATTTCTTAAAGCATCTCGAGATGCTATGGAAAAATCTCAAGATACTTTGAAAACATTTGGAAAGATCTTGAGACCTTTTCTTTTCATCTTAAGATTTTCTGAAAGATCTGGAGATTGTCATAAAAAATCTCAAGATTGTCTCATAAGATCTCAAGATTTCGTCTAAAATATTGAGATTTTTCAATTTTTAACGAAGAGTGAAGACCCCCACTGGGGGTCATTATGATCCGCTATGTAACAGAGACGTTTTGACAAAATATTGGATATGTACCTCTAAGCTGTAAATGGTCAGAGGCATTAGTCCAAAGTGCTCTGCTCATTCCAATAATAATCTGCTCGCTGTTTGTATTTTCTTTCTTATGTTGTTTGTAACTGCATTTAACCCTCGGGCATGTATTTGCAATAAACTTTCTATTAAAATATTATGTCACGTCACAGACACGTACCAGGACGCAGGGCTGTTCCAACGACTTACGCTAATCGAGGAAGAGTTCCCTGGAACATGCGCACTGTGGTTAAAGAAGGGCAAGATTCACAAGGTCAAACAACTGCAAATTTACAAAATTGTCTTGTCATGTTCATTGTGTGTTTGTTTTGGGAATATCTACAAACACATGCTTTTTCTGATTGATATCGCTTTTTATATTTCTAATATTTTTTTGCAATAACTGCATGTCGAATTTGTCACATTTACAATTGCTTTTACATTCTCATGTCAACAATATTTTATGTCGTGAACAGCACTGTATGTCAACAATAAGAAACGTATTAATACTGGAAAATAGAACACACTGTATGAAACGAGGGCATTCTAAAAATTACTTTGAAATTTGAAAATATGCCTTTGTTACGAAAGAAAACATAAGTTATTGTTAACATTTCGGCCATTTGTTTGTCATCATTTGCTGTAATAATATGACAGCTATCTGTAGCTGTCGGATTCTGACCGTCAACACGGTACACCTTACCTTTGTTACCAGGCCTATTGTGACCTCTGGGTGAACGACCGCCTGCTGAATGTCATGGAGCAGCTGGTAGGACCGGAGATAGCCGGGAATCCGCTCTGGAACCTCCGGCCGAAGGTAAACGGACAACACCACAAATGGGAGATTAAAATCCATCGTCAATTTCAACAAAATCCTTTGCTATATGCTCGTATTATGGACATCCATCCTTTCTCTTGAGTTATCCTTTGGAAATGGTTTTGATAACTGTTAAATTAGTTGCTAACACAATTTTTCATGGAGGTAAGCACAGTTAAAACACCTTTATAAATGCGTATGTTTCAACTGTGTTTTAAACCATACATTTTTAATCGAAACACAAACTTACAGACACACCTGTACTTTCACGGATGTAATGATGACAATGCTGATAGCCACAAGTAACATTGTTCCCATCGACCCTGTTCCACAGGTACCGAGCAATGATGAGACAACTGTGCCCTGGCACCAAGGTAATACAACAAGCTACAGTTTTTAACAGAAATAGTAGACGTACTCACTATGATTGAGGGGCTTCCGGGCAGTGTTCGGGTTGGGCTTCCGGGCAGTGTTCGGGTTGCCAAATTCGTAAATGTGTGACAGGACTTGTCAACAAAACATAAAATTACGTGGTTGCTATATTCATTTCTTCTCTTTTGATTTTAATAAAAGCGACCCTGAATGAAGTAGGGAGCCCACCCTACACCATATAGCATGCCCATGCAGCAAAAAAAACAAACTAACACACAAAATTTGAATTATTTATGCATAGACAATTAATTTCTTTTAGTATATTCCAGTACATATTATACATTATCTTGTTATAGAGCAGTGATCTCTAATCTTCCCTGTTCCATTTATAAAGTAGGATCTGCTCTCTTACTTGTACTTACTGAGGCCTTCTCGTCTTCTCATGAGCACCCTACGTCAAGTACTAGTATATAGGCTCATTCAATCTTATTTGATCTTAAGGCGACACCGATTTAATTTGTTGCTTCTCGGGTCGCCCTGTCCTTTTTTCTGATTTGCAAAAAAATAAAATGGAGGGTTCTAAATTAACTGCAAGATGCTAAATGAAAGACATATTTGGCCCCAACAGTTGATAAAAAGTAATTTTCTTCCTAGTTCTTAAAGTTTTTCAATTTAACCATGCAATTTTGGTTCATTAGAAGTTCAAAATCTATTGTTTTAATTACAAACCAGCCTGGTATGTTGGTGCATTTCCGGCTACCATGGGGTGCTTTGGCCTGTTTCTTTTCGCCCTGTCGCTCCTGATTTTTTTTTTAATCCGAGAAACAACAAATTGAATTGGTGTGGCCTAACTGGAAATCTACGCGTAGGCGATCACGATTTACCAGTATTTACAGAGGTTTATTGAGGCAGGTTTGAATGACTATTTTTTGACTGTCACAATGGAGTCTTTTTTGCGAACGATCCTAAACGTATCGATCCTAAACCATGAACTGTCAAAGTCACTTGTATTCCTACAGACAACTGCTACACTCTCCCGGAGTCTCTGGGTACGCTGATTCCGGTGGCGTGGATTCCGCTGCTAGACGCTACTGTGGAGAATGGCTGTATGCAGGTACCTTAAAGTTTATCTGTCTGATTGGAATATCATTAGCTTGCCGTGCATAACTACCTGTTGGCCTCACAGAAGCAAGTCGGCAGAACGTACTGCACCTACATTTGTACGCGAAACCCGTAATTTATTGTACATAGCTCTTTGGCAGAACTTCTCATATACATGTAAGGTCATATTTGCGCATTGAAGGTTAACATCCCCTCTGTAGTTTCCAAGTGTTACGTTAAGAAAATATCGTCTGCAACAGGAAAAATTCTGATGCAATGTTGAACAAACGTCCAACAAAAACCGTGAAAATTAGGGTCTTTCGCCGGCGTAAAATCTGGCAAGGTACATGCCGCCAAAAACTGGGATACGTCCATTTTTTGTGTTGCAAAATTACAGTAACAACCTTTTTCAGAATAGTACCAACACAGTTTTAAGCCGACATTGTATTGTGGTTTCTACTGCCCAGGTTGTGCGCGGGGGCCATCGCAGGGGGGTGACAGCCGACCACGTGGGGGTGGTGGGAGGGACGTGGTACGTGGAAGTCCTGGAGGAGGAGATGGAGAAGACACTGGGTAAGGTTGGTCACCTGGCCAACATTTCTGTACTCTCCAAGCAGACGTTTTAGCTTATTTTTGGCGTGTTTTTTTAGGCTTTTTTTTGTTTTCTTGAACTGATATTTTTGACGCCGTTCTGACTTGCTGGATGTGTGATAATTCAGCCCAGTACATGGTTATCCCTAAGGATGATTTAATGGTTCCGGGGAGGAGCACTGTCACCTTTCTAGACTAGGTTTGCCCCGCCCCGGGGTGAGTGCTGGCAGAGGTTGGGTTGGCGTAAAAAAGTCCAGTGCAAAAAAAAAAAGAAAACCCCGATTTAGAAATTAAAAATAAGAGAAAACCCAAACCTATGCTTGGATAGTAACATTTCTGAACAAAGGACAAAAATTAATGTCAGGGGAAGGGTGTTACATGTATTTACTATTATGGAAGGCATAATCTTCCAGCTTTTTTGCAGAATACCCCTTTTCTAGTTGCGTTTTGTAAAGCGATATCATTATCCAAAAATAATTTCATTAGGTTGATATTACAAAGGTATACAAAGATTTTCTTTTACACTACCGGTAATTCCCTCACCTACATCGGCTATATATAGCGGCAAGATAAAGCTCTGTTGAGTACCAGTGTCGGATAGACATCGACATGTAAGCAAGGTGAGAGAATCTCTGTTGGGCAGAAGAAAATTCCAATATTAGTATTACATATACATCTATATATCTATCTATATATCTCTATCTATATCTATCTCTATCTATCTATCTCTATCTAGTATCTCTATCTCTCTATCTATCTATCTCTATCTATCTCTATCTATCTATCTCTATCTCTATCTATCTATCTCTATCTCTATCTCTCTATCTTTATCTCTATCTATATCTACCTCTATCTATCTCTATATCTATCTTTCTCTCTATCTCTCTATGTCTCTCTATCTCTATCAATCTCTCTCTCTCTCT